TTGGATAAAAAAAATCTAATTTTTTATTTTTCAGCCCATATAACTTAAAACCAAAGGGGCCCGAGTGCAAATTCCAAAAGGGGCTCTGATTTTATAATAACTGAAATTAAATAATGCATTTCTAAAAACAAATTAAAAACATAAATCGAGTAATACAAAGTTGTCTAATTTAAAATTATTATAAAATGTTGAAAACAAAAATAAAATTATTATAAAAAAATAAATGTCAACCTCTCTGATGCTTACAGAATGTTAAATAATAATCCCAGAAAATCATATCCACCCCTTCATAAAAATAATCTGCCAGATATTGTGTCGGCAATTAAATAATCACCCATCAATTATTTAAAATATTAATAATTATTTTGATTTGAACAAATAATTGTTTTGTGTTTGATTTGGTACAATTGGAAACTAATCGCAACATTGCACTTGGTGCAATCAGGCACCTGCCCTTATCTTTTTTTTTTCCCTTAATAAATCTACGGTTGAGCTTTTGCAATCATGTATATACAATATATTTTAAATAATATTATTTTTTAGTAACTCATAATCAAGATCTACTAGTTGACTGTAAAAATGTCAAACAAGTTAATCAATTTTTATTTTATTATTTATTCAAATAGAAATTTTCAATAGGTGAACAATTAGTTATTCGATTAGTAAAATTTAAATCTAAGATTGATTAGTGTATTAATTTTTGTACTTAAAAAAAAAAAAGGTCATGTTGCACTATTTGCCTTTTAACTTTTTTATAACTTTATCTTAAGACAAAAAATAATTATTTGATTGCAAGAGACCTAATTATTTTGTAAACAGATATTTGATTAAATTAATTCCATTTATGTATACAGTCGACTTACGTAATTTGCAAAAGCACGCTGATAGTGACATAAATTATTTTAGCATTAAAAATAATATATTTTTCCCTAATGGGAGGGCCATACGAAATTAAAATATTAAATTAATTTTGGATTAATTTGTTATAAATATTAAACAACGAATCTAGCAAAGAGAATGCGGCTAATTTGCTAAAGGGGTTATGTTAGTTAGTGTCGTTATCTTGTTGTTTATTACATTGTTATCATTCTTTAAATTATTATTATTTTTTTATTTTTTTATTGAAAGTGTCTCCTAGAAAATCATAATTAAGTAATTGTATGCTTCTTTTGTAATAATTGTTGTATTTTTTTTAGCAAGTTATATGTGTTGGATGTATATTCAACATCATATAATTAAAATGTATAAAAAGACATTTGTAGTTATTGATTAAATCAGGGAAACAAACTATTAGTACACGTAAAACACACTAGGCTGATTATGTGTGACAAGCTCAATCTAACGATTGCTGCTAAATGGAGTCGAACCTAAAATTAATTGATACAAATTTACTTGCTTCAGGGGTCATCTTGTTAGAGACACGTTTAATCCATAATTGATAATAAAGTTTATAATAGAAAATAAATTGAGAGAATTTTGATAAGATCCTTGTCAAATTTAAAGGGGGGAAAAAAAGACAAAACTCCATAACCTCTCCATGAATTTACTCCAATTTGATTTTGTCCTTTGTGCTTTTATTATATATAAACCACCAAACAACTACTACACAACCCCACACCAACCAAAAATATATTAGAAAATTAATTAAATAAATAAAAGATAATATCATCTTACGGAATCTATTTCTTCATATTCATCCAAAAATATATCTTTCACTATAATAATATACATCCGGTTTATGATAAAAAAAATACTCTTTTATTGCATACAAATTGAAGATCAAATCAAATTAATGTACACTATAAATATAAATTAGGTCACTCGTGAATGTACGTAACTTTCGCATCCGAATCATATTATGATTTTAGTAGTTATAATTTATGTCTACAAAAATAATTGCAGCATACTACTGTCCTAACAAATAAACTGTTACAATTAGATAAGATTGATTTCTATAAGCATATAAATTAACAATCACGATTTAATCTTGTAATACTCAATTTTTATCTTAAGGATAAAAAACACAAATTCAAATAATTTTTTTTTTGAGTTACCAAGATAATTTGCATAAATACTGATTTTGCATGTACAAGAGTACCACCAATTATGTAATGTAAGAAACATAAAAAATCTAGCTAGGCAGAAGAAGAATTACAGGAGAAAAAAACAACTCTATCTTTTTTAATTAATTCTCTCCTCTCTAAAAAGTAGCCTCTAAATTCAACCTCAATGCATGCTGTAATAACATGCATCGAAGCCACGGTAATCTAACGATAATCGACAACCTCGTACCGCATACACGATCAGAAATTCGAGAACTGGTTCTGTGAAGATTGTACCATGTGCAGATCAGTTGTTGTTTGGCATGAATTATCATCAGCCATTTGCAGAGCCCTGCAAATTTATAATACATTTTAATTAATTAAATATAACAAATACGAATTCAAGATTCGATTTTTATAACGAAGTAAATAAATAAAAAATCGTACTCTCGAGGCCTTGATGCCCATAGGGAACTCAAAGCTCGTAAACGGCCATAGTACTCTCCGATAACCAAGAAGCAACGCGCTGCTTGTCGAACGGTCAATATTCGACGAAGCTGGTGAAGTGTTTGTTGCCTTAAATTATCAGCCTGTATTAATTAAAATTTTCAAAAAAATTAAAATAATAATTTTGATAATTAAAGTCAATAAACTTGTAATAAATTTCAATTTATGGACTTCAGCTGCAGACAGCTCATAATACAAAGCAATAAGTCTACAATATACAAACATTTCAAATCAAACCCTTTGTCTTATTATGATTAAAGATCCTAGCTTTAATCAAAATTATCAATATTTTGATTATTCACATCATTAGTTACTGATATAAATTATTATAAAACTAATTAAAAAAATAAAATTGCATGAGCATATATGATTGGTTAGTCATATAACCATTAAGATCAGGTGTGGGGGGATCCACCATAAGTGGACTTATTTGTCACATAATTCCAATATGTAACCCTAAAAGCAATTTTTAATAAAGACTTTGTCACATTGCACAAAAGTTTATTTCCTTGAGGAGGAAGTATTATTTTCTTTCCCAGCTTTCTTATATTTGCTCTTTTGCTACTTTTCGATTTTTTTTTTTATCGCTCGCCCCCCGACATTTGCTTTCTTATCACTTATCACCCTATCTCACTAGTTAAAGTATGACTTATCAAATCAATGTGCCACCAAAAATAATAACACATATATCATACTATTACTACTTTATATTAAATTATTAAGCACAAAAAAAGACGATTAAACGAAGAAAAAACAAATTTAATTACCTGTCGAACGAAGCCTTCGAGATTAGCTAGCTTCCCTAATGCAACTGCCATGTGATGCATGCTATCGTTTATCGAACCATTAGCAATAGTGTCGATTAAAGATTGTTGCAGTTGTTCCAATCCTTGTGAGAGTGCGTCTTCGGCTTGCTGTGAGGTCTGCTGCAGGCCGTAAATCCCCATTATTTGCTGCTCCGTTAGCGGGTCTAATTGCGAAATCAACATCTAATCACGGAAAAACAAAGAACCATTAATTGGGATTAATTAATATTTAATTAATTATTTAATTAATCATTTGCATTGCAAGAATTAATTAATTAACCGAACCTTGATTAGATCGGACGGTCGAAAACCACCCATCCAAAGAAAGCACCGCTCGGCTGGGGTGGCCCACATGCCGGTGATGAGGTGGAATACGTCGGATTTTGCAGCAACACCTTTTAGTCGGAAAATTTCGTCGTAATGCGAAATATATGCATCCACTATTACTCTCAAATCGCCATCGGTTAAATGTGCTTGAACTGCGGTTCGAAGTTCGGACATGTGCCTTAGGTCTTCGTCTAACCATCTTGCGTACTCCATGTCGAATATTGCGCCACCTAGGACGAAATAAATATTTATTATAATTATTATTATTCTAAATACTAATTGTGAAGAGAAATTAAACTTTTAGCACCTACCACAACCAATTTTACTTTATTCTTTATTTTATTTTATTCATTGCATTTTTATTTATATGTTTTATCACATTGTAAGAAAATTGTTTTCTTTTTCTGCTAAGCTACAAATAGTTGGTGCCAGAATTCAAGAATTTGAGGGGCTGAACTTGAAAGATTCCAAATATTCAAATTACACACACCCACACACTAAAAGATTCCTTTCTTTTTATTTTTTTCCTGAATTAGTCATTGAAAAATCTGACATGGCAATGCAGAAGCAGAAATCCTTAAGTCAAATGCAAAAATATTATTTTTTTATTTGCCTCAGGTAAAGATTTGAAACCTAGTCTTGTTTGAAAATTTGATATCTTTGAGGATCTTCTGGTCAAGATTTTTGGATTACTTGTCTGAAAAACCAGCCACCTCAGTAAAATAATTAAAGGGCTTGATCATACTGTGGTAATTAAGTTTACAAGATTGTAAATGACTCATTTGTCCCTCTTGCAATTCACACACACACTGCAAGGTGAAAAAAGACAGGGGCAGTTTAGTAAATTACTAACAGGGAGATAGATACATACCAGAGCTAATACTCCCACCTGCAACCCCACCTCCTCCTAAGAAAATTCCCTGTTGCCACCAAAGTGGTTGAGTTTAAAAAAAAATTAAAAAAAATTGCAATAATTATTTCTTGTCCAAATTAATGTAAAATAAGTTTAGGATTATTACCTGTGACCTTGCCCTATGAAGATCTTGTTCCAGCTGAGTTAGCCTGATTCTGCTTGATTCTAGCTGCTGCACATAGGCCTGGTAAATAAAAATAAAATAAAGACCATTATATACATAATTACATATACATACATATATATATATATATATATATATACATATAATGTTAAAAAAGGAGCCACCTTTTTCCTAAGCCTGCTCTTTCTTGCTGCTTCTCTGTTCTGGGCTAATCTTCTCAATGTCTGAAAAAACAAGAAAAAAACATTAGTTTCAAGATCAAATTTTTATTCTTTCATATAAATTATTACCAATATTCTAAGGTGCAGGAAAATTGTTACAGAATTCCATGCATTCATGCATGTGGATAACGTGGGCTAATTAATTAATTAACTATTCATCACCTTAGCGTCAACCGCTTTGTTTGAATCAGAACCAGGCTTTTTTTTCTGCATCATTTTCAAAATTAATTTTCAAGCAAAAAATAGAAAAGATTTATTTTTTGGTAGACTTTTAGTGTATTTAAATCTACAGTCAAATAGGAGCAGCTAAGAATAAATAATCTTGAGTTGGTTTTGGGAGGGGGGGTGGGGGGGGGGGTGGGGGGTGATAACGTGTCAGCAATAGCATAATCTTTACAAAGATATCATCTTTAATTTTTATTAACCAAAAAAAAAATAAAGAAAAAACAATTTAGTATATCTTGAAAATAATAAATAAATATATTTATTAAATTCCATTAATTGTTTTTTCTCTGCTCCCAATAAAGATTTATTGCAATCACCAAAAAAAAAAAAAGAAAAAAAAGGAATTTGGAACTACAGTTCTTGGAGATGGGAAAAAGAAAGTAGGTAATTATTATGATCTAGGACTTCAACTGTAGTTTGGTGTGATGATGGAGGACAAGACACATACATAAAATATTATTTATAATAATAATAATAGAGTTGTAAGAATTAAGATTATTTAAACTTAATTAAACACACACTAATGTAATAAAGATTCCACCTTTAATTCTTTCTCTTCGGATTATTACATGTCAGAGAAATCAAATCAGAACCAGAACCCTTTTCATGCAAAATCTTCTCACAGTTATTGGGATTAGAAGAGAGAGAAAGTATTAAAGATGCTACCTTTTCTGGGGTTTGTCTGCCAGCTGTTTGATGAGACTGCGAAAAACCGCCGGCGCCGTCCATTTGCGGTGGCTGGAGGTGGTGGTGGTCGGAAGACGACGGCTTTGTGCTGACGGGAGACTCCGGCACGGTGGTGGAAAGTGTGTTCGCCGCCGATCCTGAATCAGTACTCTCTTCTCCTCCTCCGCCGCCGCCGCCTGATTTTGAGCTTCCCTGCAGATTGTTTATTTAATTAAACCACCGCAAGAAAAGAATATAAGTCAACATGGCTTTCATCACCATCAAGAAAGCTCCAAGAACCCCCCACTTAATAGATAAGCATAAAAAACCCCATAATTTTCAGTTACATATATAGATACACATATAGATACAGAAATGGTCAAAGAGAAAGTAGTACTACTACTGGGGTATGGTGGTGGAATCTGATTGGCCAAGAAGGGAACATTTCCAGAGTTGCTGCAGGCCTTACTGTGCTGCTGCTGCTGTATATTAAAGCTGCAACATAATCAAAATCTTTGAAGATCACAACCACAAACAAAATTCAAACACATATACCATGATTCTTTTTCAATTTTCAGACATACATATATATACATACATACATATATTCACATATGAAAAAATAAAAGAGACATCTTTAAGCAGTTATGGAGTCAGTAAAAAGAATCATGCAAGCAAGCAGGTGAGGTTTTATTTCCTTAATTGAAACCCCACGCCATTCGAAACCCCTGTGCAAGAATGATTTTTTTCTCAAACATATCCACCCCCAGTGCCGGTGCAATAAGATGAAAATTTCCCTGCAAAATTCAGATAGCATGCAAACTTTTACTGCAAAATTCTTGTGGAACATATCAGGAAAGACTTTATTATCTGTGTTTCAAGGGTTCACATTCCCAAACCGGGAGAGAAAGCGGAAAATCTATTTACTACTCAGTCTAGTCTACATGAAAATTTTAGACAGCGGCCTACAATTGACAGGGTAAATAAAAAGAATACATGAAATC